TCCCTTCACTCCTTCATCTTTGGACCTTTTTTCCTATTTCAAATTATCAACTATTCATTTTAATCATTTTAACTCTTGTTTACACTATCAGTTTCTCACACTGGAGAAACTATTCGATATTTACACATGTGTGTCCTATTTATTTCACTTAAGAGTATGGCCTCAATATGCATCCATTTAGCTATAAATGACTCTAGTTTTCCGTTCTTTATGGCTGAGTAGTACTCCATTTTATTTTAAAAAAACACATTTTCTTTATCCAGTTTCCAGTTGATGGGCACTTGGGTGCTTCCAAGCTTTAGCTATTACAAACTGTGCTGCTATGAACATGGGTGCACATATATCACTGCGATATGATTCCTTTAATTTTGGGGGGAAGATACCCAGCAGGAGAATAGCTGGGTCAAATGGGACCTCTAGTTCTAGTTCTTTGAGGTATCTCCATACTGACTTCCATAGTGGTTGCACCAGTCTGCACTCCCGCCAGCAATGGAGAAGGGTTCCTTTCTCCCCACACCCCCGCCAGCATTTGTTATTGGTTGATTTCTTGATAGTAGCCATTCTTTCTGGGGTGAGTTGGAATCTCACGGTTGTTTTCATCTGCATCTCTCGAATGACGAGTGATGTTGAACATTATTTCATATATTTGTGTGCTGCTTTTACTTCTTTGTCTGAGAAATGTCTGTTCATTTCAGATGCCTGTTTTTGAATTGGGTCTTTGAGTTTGGGGGGGTCTGATTTTTTTCAATTCTTTATATATTCTGGATAGTAGTCCTTTGCCTGAGGTACAGCTGCTAAAAATTTTTTCCCACATTGTAGGTTGTCTGTTAGCTCTGTTGGTGGTTTCTTTTGCTGTGCAGAAGCTTTTTAATAAGATGAGATTCCATTTGTTGATTCGTTCTGCTAGTTCCCGTGCTGCTGAGGTTTTGTTCATGAAGTCTTTTCCTATGCCAATGTCTTCAAGAGTTCTACCTAACTTATCTTCCAGCAAGTTTAGTGTTTCCGTCTTAATATTTATATCTTTAATTCACTTCAATCTTAGTTTAGTGCATGGTGATAGGTATGGGTGTAGTTTTAATCTTTGGCAGGTTGAAATCCAATTTTTCCAACACCATTTATTAAATAGGCTATCTTTCCTCCAATGAGGGTGGTTGGCTCCTTTGTCAAAGATGAGGTGGCTGAGCATATCTGGAGTTGTTTCTGCATCTTCTAATCTATTCCACTGATCCTCAGGTCTGTTCCTTTGCCAGTACCATGCTGATTTTATCACAGTATAGAAGCTTAATTTTAATTCTTATACTGTAGTCATTCTCTTGGTCAGTGAATAATTCTAATGTTCAGTATCCTGCCAGAAGATTACCACATTTCACATCTAACACTGTTGTAATTTATTCAGCAAATATTTGTTACACATCTAATAGGTGACTCTGCGCTTTGTTACAACAGATTTCTTTCGTGGGATAAAGATGGGCTGGACCTCAAGAAGGTACTATCCTTATTTGCTGGCTTTGCTCCACATTACTTTGCCATAGCCACTGTTGCACGCTATTATGCACAATATTGCACGATGCCTAATGTGGTATTACCCAGACACAACAGGAAATAGACTGACCACCTGGTTTGAACTGTTCACATTTTTCCTGTCTTGGCCCTTTTCTCTAGTAGCCAAATTATTATTTGTTTTTTGGCTACAAAATAAATGATAACTGAATGGTAAAAACCCTTATTTTTAACATAAGCTATTTCTTTCCTTTGGAATTTGGTTGCTCATTAAAACATTTAGCAGTATAATTATAAGTAATTTAAATAGTTAATTAATAGTGCTATGGTTTCCAGTTACACATTTCTTTAAATAAAGCATCCATCATTTATAGAATGTAATTTGTCACTGGATTGCTGAAACAAATACAATTACATGTTAAATGTAGGAAGGTCCCACAAATCAACCCTGGATCTTGTAGAATTTGCCATACACTTAACTTTTGATCATACTTACAGGTCCAAAAGAGAAACACAGAAAATCTGTGCCTCTACAGTTTATTTGACATTCCATCTGTTTAGTGTCTGGTTCTAAATCATATTTTTGACAATGAAGACCCAGATTAAAGCGATGTCAATGTTTTGGCAAAATTGACTGATGAGTTTAATCAGCTAAATTGTCCACTTAGTCTAACAAATGCTTTGACAGTATGATTTGCTGATGTGTGGCGTTTTTTTTTTTTTTTTTTTTCTTTTTTTTTTGTTCAATTAACTTGTTTTTTAACATAATTGACTGGTTAAGTCAACATAATATAGCCAGATGAATTCAATGTTTGAAAGCTGTTCCAGAGTAATTTTTCTTAAATGGCTACACCAAAGAAACAACTTGTCTTATAACAAATGTGCAAAATCTACTATAAAGCAATCTAAAATTCTGGTTGTATGACTGTTTGTGAAGAAAAACATACTTATGATCCCATTTCAAGTGAAAACTTGGATTTTTGAATCAAAAGCTTTTTGTTTTGTTTTTTTTGGTACTGGGGATTGAACTCGGGTCCTTGTGCTTGCAAGGCAGGCGGCGAAACCACTGAGCTAAATCCCCGGCCCAAATCAAAAGATTTTTATTCAGTAATTCTATTTTTAAAAATTTAAACCCATAATGAAAATATCTTTTTCCATGGAAATGTAGTTCAATTTTTGCATATAAATAAGTATATTTTGTTTAAGGAACAAGCAATAGAAATTCATTTTCTTTGTCTTGTAAAAGTCCCCTGTCAAAATGTTGACTCAAGAACAGAGTTTCAGAGGTTCCACCGCCTGCCTTACAACTGTAGGGACCCGAGTTCGATCCACAGTACCAAAAAAACAAAACAAAAACAAATTTTAATATAATGTAACTGGGGTCCTGGTAAGTCTGTTAACTCTCCTATAGATGTGTTAGATTAGGTCAGGGGGTGAGGTGGGGGATAGACAGCAAGAGAGACAGAGACAGATGTTGAATGTCGAAGGGAATTCATTATATAGTGCAGCTAGAAGGACTGTGCCTCATGACCTGTTCAGGAGGTGTGTGGGGTCTCTGGTACAATCAGGTTTTGTTTTGTTTTAATTACCGTAGGAATGAGGTAAATATTCATGTCATTCTCACTTTTGAAATAATTTAGGTATATTTCAAAACCTGAATCATTATCTTGTTTCAAGTGAAAATACTTATACTTAAAAAATTTACATTTTCCCACTCCTGCCTGCCTTTCTGCTTTCTTCTTTTCATTTCACGTTTCGTGCTTATGAACATTAACACATCCACATATGTGCATACACACCTAAAAAGTTGGCATGTTCATTTAAATACATATTTTTATATTTATGTGCACATTAGTGAGTTTATCAACTATCACTGCGAGTATAACCCATCACATAAGTTCCTCCATAACGGATTTGCTTGTGTGGAAATCTATGTACTTGACAGTTGGTAAACACTTCATTTAGAATTTAAATTATATGCTTTTAGAGACTTGTTGAGTTTTTACAATTAAACGTTTGACTTTCTTCCAATAATGTGCTGACATGAAAAGAATTTTCTGCACAAAAATATTTATGTTTAACAAACGTCTAACATAAAATGACTGGAAGAAAAACATTTATCAGAAATGTAAAGGACAAATATTTAGTTTTCTAGCTATACAGAGAACTTTTACAATAGCAAACCCTACATAAAACTGAGCAAGCAATCAAAAGATTAAAGAAATATAAAAGGTGAAAAACACAAAAATATACTCAATTGTAAGTAAAAATAAAATATACCATTCCATCAAATTTGTAAAATCTAAATGAATTGATAATATTTAATTTTGAAGAAGAAAGTAAGTACTATTGGAGGACATTATATTTTTATTGCTTTTGGAAATCAGTTAATATTTTCTAAATTTTAAATATATTTGCTCTTTGATCCATCAAATTGTAGATGGATGTAGAAATATACCATAAAATATATATAGATAATATTCTTTCCAAAGTATTATTTCCAAGGTACATAGATGTGTTTATACTCCTTGATAATGTTATGACCCCAAAATATTGAGATGTTCCAAAATGCTCATAGGACATATTATATTTTATTATAAAATCATTATCTAATTATGTTATTTTATTTATTAAATGCATAGTATTTATTTATTAATGTAATGATGTATGATGGCTTTTTCATTTCCAGGTATTGATTCCTTCATAATTTATGGGTACATTATATATATATACATATATATATATGTATATATATACAGTGCATAGTTAAAATCTACCCATTATAATTGTTGTAAAAATGAAGGAAATAGTATCCAGAAATTAAATGATTTTCATCATATGTCATTAAGTTGATAAAGAAAATAATACAAAGTATCAAGCAACATGTATAGCACTATTTCAGTAAAATTTACCTGAGTAAAATGTAAAAAAGCAGAGTGGGAGTACACTTACCATGTCTATTTTTGTACAGAAAATTCTAATAGGTCACCAGATTGTTAATTGGCTACCTCTTTACAGTGGAGGAAGAATGTGGCAAAAGAGCTAAAGGAAAATATAATTTTTCTCTGTACTAATCTTAATCTTATTAAAAATGTGCATGTATATTTCCACAGCTAAATTATAAAGTATATTGATTATATTAATTATTACCTAAAACAATGAAGGTTTGAAAATTGTAGTAGAATATTTAAAGTCAGGAACAGTGTCACTTTGTGGTTATGATTTCTTTAGAGTGAATATCCTGCTCTATACACTAGATAATACGTAGCCAAGATTGTAATGGAAAATCCAGAGCCCTTTTTTTCCATTTATGAGAAAAAAAATGGTAAAATTTCAGGAAATAATTGCTTTTTTTAGATTTTTGGAATCAAAAAATATAGGAAGGGAGAAATACTCTATTTTCTTTAAAATGGTAAATCCTAACAGCCTTGTATTAGCTAAACCCCAGCTCCTGCCTGCTTTGTGTAGTAACCCTGCCGTCTTCTCATCCTCCTGCCCAGCTTTCAGCCGCGCCCCAATCCCCATGGCTGTGGTACGCAGGGAGCTCTCCTGCGAGAGCTACCCCATTGAGCTCCGCTGTCCAGGGACCGATGTCATCATGATCGAAAGTGCCAACTACGGGAGGACCGACGACAAGATCTGTGACTCTGACCCTGCTCAGATGGAGAATATCCGATGTTACCTGCCCGATGCCTATAAGATTATGTCTCAAAGGTACGATATGGCTCCCATTGTTGTCTTTGCAAATACACCGTGAACTTTCACCTTGGGTCCCTGTGAAGGATGGGAAAGAACACAAAGTGATGTGTATCTTGTCTCTCAGGATGATAGGAAGCAGTTTGTCAATGCCTAAGTATTTTTCATATCACCAAAATGACAATGTTAGAAACACACTTGGAAAATACTAAAATTTATTACATTTTTTAAATGTTTCATGACCTAGTCCGCATGTTATTATTTTGACAGTGTTCTCTAAAACTGGGTTCATTATATGAGAGACTAAATATACTTTTCACAGCTTTCAAAAACCAAATTTTCTCCAAAAATTACTGAAAAAGTCTTTGCTAACAGTTACTCCCTAACCTTATAGGAAGAAAGAGGAAATATAAATTAAATTAATGGATACTTTTTGTATTCATTAATCAAAATATAGTAAAAGATTATTCATGAAAGGTTATTTGGCCTTTAAAAACAATGAAAAAGCATTCATTTTCTATCTAGTTTATGAAATTAAATTTAATAAGTTTAAACTATATGAAATATTACCTTATTAAAATAATGAATTAAAATATGTGATATCACTGAATAGAAAGAAAAGGTCTTTGACTCTAATGAGATTGGCTTATAGAAACCTATATTATAGAAGTTTAAATTATGATAAATTTTTTCTCTCATTTCTTGCAGTGCAGGGGATTGAATTTAGGGCTTTGGAATAAGCTAAATCCTCAGCCTTTTCTCTGTTTAGTTGAGATATGGTCTTACTATATCAGTAAGTTGCTCTGAATGTGTTTGAACTTGTCATCCTCCTGGCTCAGTCTCCCAGAGTACTAGGATTACAGGGCTGTGCCACCTTGCCTAGTACTCATAAAATTTCCTGATAAATAGAGTAAATAATCTATCTCCTAAGCATTTGTTCACTATTGTCATCTCTTCTCAGAAATCAGTGAAGTCATCCATTTACTGTAAGTCTTCATACTTTCTGCCTTTTCTCCAAGGTAATCTTAAATAATAAGTGAATTCATTTCATTTGATTATGATAAACTTTTCATAAGGATTTTTATTCAGGAATTTCTGTTTTTTCTATTATTTAAGGAGTTTGTAAAATATAGTGAAAACTGTAACAAGTATACAGCTAAACATATTGAAGTCTAAAAACAAATATGATAGCACATGTAACTCCTTGGGCTCAATCCCCAGCAGCAAACAAGCAAATATACAGTATATTGCAAGGATCATCTTTCTTGTACTTAAGAAAGCCTGTCTCATTTTTAACAATTTGTCTTTTTGTTACTTAAAATATGATATGTATTTATGTGTATGATTAATAAATTATCACTATTTTAAAATTATTGCCATATAAAATATTAAAACAAATTATCACATGCCAGGTTTCTGATGTTCAAAGCATCCAAGGTATCTGAAGGCTTTTGTCTGTTACCAAAATCATGGTGGCTCATGCAAAAGAGAGTGTTGATTATACAGACGATTTTACAGTTAGAGATTCCATTTGATGAAGTTTTGGTTGCGTTTTGTCATTCTTGTGTGTCTCTCTTCACCATAATTGTAACATAACTTCAACTATACCTAAATGCATTTTGCTGCTTGTAGATGCTGTACTTTTCTGCCATTGGTAATAGAGTGGGAACTATGATTCAGTTGTTATTTTTATTTACTTCTCAGACAGCCAAATATAGTGTTCTGTCTAATAACCTTGGAGAGGGTTGAGGAAGAAATTCCCCTTTTCTGTGATTAGGTTTCCACTTAGTACAGCACAAGCAGCACCTTCATTAGCTCTTGGATCTCTGTAAGATTTTCATTGAAATATTTTTAATGGTTTCATTGATATTATTAAGAAATTCCAAAATAAGCCCTTAATCTTGCAGTTATTGAAAAAAATATAATGGGTCCTTTTGATATGGGATGCATGCAAAAAATGACAAATCTGCAGAGTAAAATTGCTTTCCCCACCCAGTGTGAGCCCTCCTGGTGTTCTTGCTTGTAAGAGTTGTCTGTTAGCTGAAATAACTATGGTCATTTCTCCAGGGAATCATGTTTCTCTCTTGGATTTGAACTACTAAATAGACTATATTTATGCTTGTCAAAAATAAATGTTTTTACTCTTGCAGAGAAGAAATCCATTGTGTCTTGTGGGACAGACCAGGCCACCTTAGTTGCTTTGTAATAATTTTAGTCACACTGTCATGCCACACACAGTATGTTAAGTAATGCTAAGAATAATAAAGTATGATATGTATGTGTAATATTAATAATTTGGCATTCAATCATAATAGAAACAAACTTTTGAAAGGGTATCTTGGATTAATGTGTTCTTTTAAATTTAAACTTACAGAAACAGACTATTTCAGGATATAAATATTTTTATCATGTTTTATGGGAAGATTATTGCTGAATATAAAAAAGTCATTGCCACTATATCTTTGCATAATTTTGTTAAACAGTGTCTTCCTAACATATTAGCCTCAGTTCAGCCTCATACATTAGACAGATATCAAAGGCAAGAAGAGATGTAAAATGTATTTTAGATGTTTGAATGCACATTAAAAATGCATAAATTAAATTGTATACTATCATTTAAGTTTAATGTGAAATATTTGAAAATGGTTAAAACAGGATACAATATTTGATTTTCACATTTGCCCTTGAACTATCAAATCTGATAGCTGCTCAAGGAAAGCTATTTTTCTCATTACCTTCCAGATTGCACTAATTTGAAACTGCAGTGTTGCTCAATAGTAGAACATGTGCAAGGTGTAATTAAAAATTACATGGGATATTTAAAAATTTTAAAATTTATTGTAGTAACACACATTGGCATTAACCTTCCTCAAAATACTCTACCTAGTTATGAACACACATATTACGTCATTCTTGCCACTTTCTTAAGCATTTCTGTAAGTCTTTTTCTATGAGTGTCTTTAGTTCCACTTTCATAGCTGTTCCAGTGTCCTGAATTGATTCAAAACATTTAACTTTTGTGGCCATTTTGACTTTGGGGAAGAGCCAGAGGTTGCATGGTGCCAGATCCAATGATTAAGATCATTAAGGTGGATGAGGGCCCACTATAATGACATAAAGAGCCTGTCTTTCCCTTTTGTTGCATATGGTAGCAACATTCACTGAGTTTTGATTGCACCTTGTAATAACATCAAAGGGGACTTCCAGTACTGCTTCATAAAGTGGCAAGAGTGCATAAGCCTGAGCAAGGGATGGAGCTCAGTGGCACTGTGCCTATCTGGCAAGTACAAGGTCCAGAGTTTAATTCCTGGTACCGGAAAAAAAAAGAATGAATAAGCTTGTTCGAATTTAAGAGGAGTATTTTGAGGGGAATTAGTGGCAATCTGTTTTTTACTGTACTAATTATTTTAAAAATTGGAACATTCACTGTATATTTTGATAGCATACTTAGTATGCACAGGACCTGGATTCCACCCCAGCACATATGTACACACATACACAGACACACAGTCACACACACACACACACACACACACACACACACACGCACTTACGGATTGCTAAAATTACACAGACTTTTCTCAAATCCAAAGGTTCTCATTCCATTCTTTCGACCAGTCCAACCCCCGAATATCCCTTATTTTTTCTAACATTATCCTGCTGCTAAAATATTTGTTCAAAAATCAGAACAGATTTATTTATCCTTCCTTGAACTTCTAATCTTCATTAGCATAATTTACATTTCTCCTTTTTGCATTTAAACATTATCAAACCTGTATTATCACACAGTTGTCTTTGTATCTAGCATAGGCTTCTAGAAAACAAACCTCTGTTGATATTATATAAAAACAACCTTTAATTTTAAGTGAATAAATATGCTTTCTAATTTTGCCATGCCTCTTAAAAGCTTTCTTCATTTTGTTATCTGTTTTCTGTTTCTTTGTGATTTATATGTATGCATTTTAGAGGGCTTTTTAATTCACACCTAATTTTAGAGTGTAAATGTGAAAATGATGGGTAACAACTGGATAATTTCAGAAATTTTATATTTGGAATTAAGTTTTGTGTTATCTGTAACTATTTTTTTTTTCTGGGAAGCCTACTTAAGTTTGAGAAAGTTACTTCCCTTTTTTTTTTTTTTAATGGTACCAGGGATCAAACTCGGGACCTTGCGCTTGCAAGGCAGGCACCAGAACCACTGAGCTAAATCCCCAGCCCTATCTGTAACTATTAATGGGAATATTTCAATTATTAATTCAGACAACAGTTAAAAGTCCATAGTATGCAATTTACTTTGATTTACTTGGGTATAATGGGTAAATAAATCAACCGTGGTTCCTGCCCACAGAAGTCAGAGGAGGTTTCTCTATGCTGGATAGTATTAGAGAGTATGTCATTGGAGAGGAAATAGTAGAGCTTATCCTTGAACTATAACAGCATTAGTGGAACGAGAAGAGACCAAAATGATGCTAGATAGGTAAGTGGACAAACATTACAAAGGAGCTCAAAGGAACAGCTTCATTTCCATAGCCCTTTTACCTTCCTTTCTTTCATGGCATTGTGTCTTCCGCCATGGATCTGCCACCATTTACTCTCCCTGAATCTTCACCTATATGTGCCACGGCTTAGGGTCAAGGCCTCTTCCTCTTAAAGCCCTCCTTGTAGATCAGGTACACATAATCTTCCAAAACTTTCTTTTTTCTAGATAATACCCTAGCTTGTGAATTTCATTGTTGGGAAGGAAAGAAGAAAAACAAAAGAAAGGAAGGAAAGGAAAGAGAAGGGAAGGAAGGGAAGAGGGAAAGGAAGGGATGGGATATACTAGGCTTCCATTGGAGTCCCTAATTTAAACTGGATATAAAAAAGAGGTAAATATGGGAAATTTGAATATCACATATGGTGATGTCTTCATGCTGGCTATTTATGGCATAGTGTAAAATTTAAGGGGTAATCAAAATATATGGTGGATATTTACATTTTAAAAATGATTAAAGTATAATATAAATTGTTGTAAATCA